GCCAAGTTTCAGACCGTTAGAATGGGATAATATATTTTACCCATTCGTTCATATGAATAACCTTTATTTTTACATTTATTTAATAATTATTTATCTTATGTTTTTGTCTATGAACTAGTGTGTGGCTTGGGTATGCATGTGGAAATCAGGACAGTTTGTGGAAGTTGATCTCCTTTTACTGTGTAGATTCTGGGAATCGAACTCAAGTCATCAGGCTTGGCAGCAAGTATCTGTACCAGCTGAGCTATCTCACTGGCCCACAGCCTCTTAAATATTTACATTTCAAGGGCTAGAAGTACAGGTCAGTAGTAAAACACTCGTCCTGGCATGCCTGGGGTGGATCTCTAGTACCGCAAATAATATAAATAAAGTAAAGTCCCTAAATATTTACATTTCATACTGGAACTTTTTCCTTCTCCCATTCCAAATAAGGTCTTTCTAGAACTCTGTCATCTTAAATTTGTGTTACAGCATCTGCTGTGTATCCATCTTTTCTGGTCTCACACAAGTTCAAGTCCTGTCCTGTCCCTCCCATATGTGTGTGTTTCGCCCATGAGTGCATGTGTGCTTCTGTGTGTCTGGTGGATTTGAGGTTCACTGTGTGTGTTGTTGCTCTACTAGGGATCAACCCCAAGACCTCATGCATACTGAGCAAGCATTCCTCACCTGAGCTCCATCCCCAACCCTGTCCTGTATTTTAGTCATTTCCATGCCGCATCTTTTCTGCTTGGACAACTTTTCAAGAGTTCTGTTTAGCTTTCACTGACCCTTTACCATATGTTCTTTTCCTTTCCCGCCATTCTAAACACTCTGCTTTCTGCTGTTTTCTCATATTGTGTTGATACTGTGTCAATCATACCACTTCAGTGAGCTTAGAGGTTCCGTGAATTCTAAGAACATTGTTTAGCCCATTTTATTTTTCTGTGATACTTGGTTTGCTTCTGAGCACATAAGTTAAAAAATACTTATAAGGCTCAGAAGGTGCTTGGTAAGGTTCTTGCCTTGCAAGCAATAGAATACCTGACTTGACTCCCCAGAACCCACTTAACAATTGCCAGGCATGGTGGGGTATGTTTATGATGCCAGAACAGGGAGGTGGAGTCAGGAAGATCGTTGGTACTTGCTGACCAACTAATCTAGCCTAACTGGTGAGTCCAGACCAGAGATACTGTCTCAAAGAAGATGAAAGATGTTCCTGAGGGTAACACCTGAGGTTGACCTCTGGCCTCCACATGCACATGTATACACTTGCATAAAAAATTCATTGAGGTGAGAATCCCAGGCTTGTTTGATACCTATCAAGAAGTAAATGTCAACCTCATTACTGTTTTTGCATTCAGCAGCAAAGTCTATATAGGAAACAAAATTTGGGGGTTTTGATTTTGTTACTATAGTTCATATAGGGAACAAATTTTGGGGGTTTTGATTTTGTTACTATAGTTTATATAGGAAACAAAATTGAGGGTTTTGATTTTGTTACTATAGTTTATATAGGAAACAAAATTTGAGGATTTTGGTTTCGTTACTGTCTTTTGGTGGTGCTGAGGATTTACTCCAGGGCCTCGCATAAACTGGGCAAGCACTTTAATGTTGTGCTATCCTCAGACCTGAAGTTCTTATATAGGGTAATATTTTATGTGATCTATAATTTCAGATTTTCATTATGATTTGTTAGTTTCCTTAGCTCTATAACTAATGGATGCAAAGAAGTCAGAGGCAACACCATTTTAAGAAATTTGAAGAATATGAAGTAAAGTGGTTCTGAATTTGGACAGAATTGCTAATGACACATTTTAATAGTCCACAGTTGCATAGATCTTCCATGCTTCAATATGTTTTCACAAAATAAATTGTTCAAATACAAATAAATGGCATTAAATTTGCAGTAGTATCACTTAGTCACAATGGGCAGCTGTTTCAGAACTATTAATACTATTTCATTGTTCATTTATTTTTGTAATTAGAAGGAATACTGAGATAGAATACATACACTACAGTATTAAGTGGTTGTGAAAACCTCATTTTCTTCTGAATAATAAACACTGCCTCCTGGAACAGGAACCCACATGTCTCATTCTTAATGTTACTCATTGCATTCTTACTGATGTTTTTTGCTTTTGGCACCTTTTGCATTTGAGTGAATTTTATGAAGTAGGAATATTATTTTGCATATATAATCTGTTGTTGGAATTCGTTTGGGTCCAGCAGTTGTTCTAGAATCTATTTTTAGTAGATATGGATTCCTATAGAATTTGAAAGTTCTCTTCAGTAGGTTTGATGGATTTTGCTTGGTACTTGCTTGCTGTCCCTTTGCAGTCTGAGAACACTAGCAATTTTCTCGGTAGACTGAACTGTCAGAAGGACAGCACTTAGGAGCCAAGAAACATAGAGCATGACCTGTTGCAGAACATAGTGGGATTGCACATACACATAGTGGGACGCACCAAACTGAATTGCTAGGGCAAGACAGGAGGGACACTGATGAAAAGAAAGAAGTCGGGTTTTTTGTTTGTTTGTTTTGGCACTGTAAAGAGATTATTACTAGGTTTTTCACATGTATAACTCTGAGATGACAGTATCAGGCTCAGGGTGTAGCTCAGTGGTAAAACGTTTGTATAGTCTAAGTGAGGTCCTAGGTACAATCTCCTATCACCACCAGTAAATAAGTCCAGTGTTATTGTTTGTTTGTTTTCTTTTTTTATGTATACAGTGTTCTGCCTGCATGTATGCCTGTAGGCCTGAAGAGACCACCAGATCTCATTATCGATGATTGTGAACCACCATGTGGTTGTTGGGAATTGAACTCAGGACTTCTGGAAGAGCAGCTAGTGCTCTTAACCTCTGAGCTATCTCTCCAGCCCAAGTTCGGTTTTGTAATAAGTAGAAATTTAAAATCATGGAGGTTAAGAAACCCATCACAGTTGTTCAGCTAGTAAGTAGTTGGTTTAGACTTTGTACCCCTTATATTGCTGATTCCATAATTACATAGTTTCATCTTAATTTCATTGTAAAAGTATGTGAAACCACAGGGAGAAAGGACACCACAGAAAATAGAAGTTTCATACAAGACAAATGTGCAGATAGATCCCTTTGGGCATTCTCTGATATGCATTTTCTCCTAGGGCTTATATAGCAGTCCACTTTGAAAGATAACAGATGAAACACTTAAAACCCATTTTGGTTGCCCCGTTTGGATATGGTGTTGGACAATTTCCTAAGACTTAAGGGGTTATCATAAAACATCATCTCTTCAATGTTTGTATTTTAAAACAGCATAATTATCTCTATAACAGATACTGCTGGAACTAAACAATCTGCTTCAGAATTTTAAAGTTCCATAATTGATGACTGTGTCTCTCAGTAGTTGAGGAAAATTGTTTAATAGTTTTTTTTCAATTTAAGTTTTCTCTGATTCTGGGAGAAGTCAGGGCTTTATATGTGCTACTCAAATGAACTGCATCCCCAGCAGTTTGCACTCACTGTGTTTTCCTCCCTCACACACTCACACACGCTATCCTTTGTCTCATTAATGAAGGAGTAGTGTATTAAGGAGCAGAAGTTGTAGGCAGGTAGTAGGTACCTATCATGACACATTGTAGAAGTGTTTACCTCCTACTTACTGTGTACCTAAAGTCCTTACATATAAAATGTTCTTATGTGTCACCTCTCTGCCTTCCTCCTTCCTTCATAAGAAAAATTAATGAACAAAATTTAAGTAGGAATGTTAGGTGTGAATTTTCATATCAGTGACATCTCTACTTTTCAATAGACAAATGCTACAAGCATCTGCTTTCTTTTGCTTTGTAGCATGCCTACAGAAACCAAACATTTTCTTACTAGTGTTCTTTCTTTATAAATTATAATTCTCCTTTATTACTAGCACTCACTACTTAGTTATGATTTGTTTGCCTGTGAAGGTTACCCTTTGGTGTGATCTTTTCTCTACAGTACACACAGGACTGATAGTGGTGGACTACATGGACTACATAGAACTAGTAGTGATGAACTACAGGACTGATACAGTGATGAACTACAGGACTGATAGTAATGGGTTACAGGAAGCAGGAGGCCTCTGCCCTCTGTACCCATGCTCTCTGCCCCTGCTTGCTGGCTGCTGGTCTGCAGCCCTGCCTTTGGTAGCTTCTTTCTTCTTGTAGACCACCCTTTTCTCTCGTTTTGACTTATTCTAAATGGGCAGGGAAAGTACGGACTTTTTAGTGGATTTGTGGAAAGTATCGTGTGTGGAATCAAAGATTGAAGAACTTAATTTGACCAAATCAAATGTGTTTGTAAGCATTTGGAACAAAGTCTCTCTAAAAGTCTAGAACTGTGGCCATGTAATTTGTAGGACTAAAGGATAGTCTGGCATCTCCCTATATCCTATAGTACATATTATAATGCAGATCTGTAGAGTTGCTTTTCCAATAAACATAAGGTAGAGGAATGATGTTTTTTCTTCATATAGTTTTTCACTATTAAATATAGGCCCAAATTTATTTGCCATGCTTGCATTTTAGCATGATCAGTTGGTAGCTGAACTAATGATTACATTGGTCTCCTCACTTACCCCAAGCAAAATTCTTGTGTTTCCTCCTGGTGATGACAGCAGCAGCTGTGTGTCAGATGCTAGTAATGCAAATGAATGGCCTGGAAGAGGGCAAGAACTGTTACCTGGGATTTTGTATTTGTCTCTTCTCCTCTCTTGTCAATCTACCTACCCTGGTTTTTACATATTTACTGGCCATTTTTATTTTATATGTAAAGTAAAAAAACAAAAAACAAAAAGTTTCCATGGTTTTACTTTGTAGTGCAAATAGCATTTTAATGCAGCTTCTCTCTGTGCCCTACAGGCATTGATTAGATTCATTGTGTTGTCCTTTGTGGAAATCCATGCAGCCTTGCTGCAGTGAGCTGTGGGTCTGCATAGTATTTGGAGAACAGAGGACACTCATAAAGACTACCAACATCATCTTTAACGCGCTTTTCTTTTTGTCGTCTAGTTGCTGATCATCTGGGCTGTGACCCTCAAACACGATTCTTTGTCCCTCCTAATATCAAACAGTGGATCGCCTTGCTGCAAAGAGGAAATTGCACCTTTAAAGAGAAAATATCACGGGCTGCTTTCCACAATGCGGTTGCTGTAGTCATCTACAATAATAAATCCAAAGAGGAGCCAGTCACCATGACTCATCCAGGTAAATAGGAAAAGAGGCTTTAAATTTTGTCTCTCTCTCTCTCTTTTTTTTTAATTATTGCTTTGGGCATTCTTCTACCTTTGGTGAAATCATAATCTTCAATATAATTCTATGATTATATTAACTTTTAGTATTCTCACTTGTGGAGATGCGTGCCCTCCCCTTGATTGTTTTTCTTTAATGATGACAAAAAAATCTGTAACACTTCCTAATGGCTGGCTAGAATTGAGCTCATGGTAGTTTTGTTCTTCTGCTGTTAGTGTGAAGGCTTCAGTTATCCTGTGCTTGATATGGGGTCCTTCTCCAGACTGCTGTGGGCTCTCAATGGTTACCAGTCCAGGAGGGGTTCTTTCCGTGTCATTAGAATAAATTTTGAAGCTGCATTAGCAATGAGTACACACAGCAGTGAGATGCCATTTCTTCATTTCTTGTGTGAAGTACTTGGTAATTGTTTGTATAACAATAGTTGCGATTTACTGAGCATTTACTCTGTGTATGTATGTATATGCCCACCACTTTGCTGTGGGTTCTTAAGAGCATTTGCTACTCTTGCAGAGACCTAAGTTTGTTTACAAGCATCTATGTCAGTTGGCTCACAACTGCCTGTAACTCCAGATCCAAGACATCTGAAGCCCTTTTATCTTCTGGGGATACATGTACACACCCAGAGTATATGTACATATGTACAAAAAAATAAAAACAATCAAAAACAAATAGATGTTTGTGGCAGTCCTTGTAGTCACTTATGACACAGGTTCTTCCCCAGTCTTACAGAGCAGAAGACTAAAGCTAGTAGAGCCTGCAGAAGAGGGTTAGACCCAAGTTTACTAATGTCTGTTCAGTTTCATGAGCCTGGCTCTGAGCTTCTGGGATTTAATTTAGCTTTACATTCATGAAGATTTATAATATGATGCCTTACTTAAGAAATTGCCTTTAAAAAAAAAAGAAAAGAAAATAGCCTGGGTGTTGTTTGTTTTTACATTTGTGTGTGTGTGTGTGTGTGTAGGGAGAGAGAGGGGGAAGGGAGGGAGGGAGGGAGGGAGGGAGGGAGGGAGGGAGGGAGGGAGGGAGGGAGGGAGGGAGGGAGGGAGGGAGGTTCTGAACAGGTGGATCCCAAGAGCTAGGTGATCAGCCAGCCTAGCTAAATCAGCAGACTTCTGGTACAAAGAGAGATTGACTCAAATCAGTAAGAGGGCAGTAGAGAAGATTCCAGACACCCTGCATTCATATACTTACATAGTCACATGCGTGCACCACACCCACACACACATGAAGAGCAGGAAGTTTGTCAGATAATGCAGATTTCTCATCTGCATTTCTCACAACATATGTTTACTCAGATGTGCTCTAGAGGGCCTGGTGAAGGAAAAAAATGTAAAGGACAGTTTTGAGAAATGCTTGGGGGGCTCTTCATGCTCATTGACATATTGAGGTCTCTGAGAATGTTTTATAGGGAATAACTCTGTGATAAAACTATTTGCTGGACTTGTTTGACCATACAATTCTTTATCATCAGTTATAGTAACAAAATGAAGAGGTTTAGAAGTAGACTATGGGGTGAATTCCCAAGGAACTGCAGCTTCTGTAAAGCAAACAATAGAGGTGTACATAAGGGCAGTAGCTATCTAAATTTAAACTGGAAAATAAAATTTAAAAAAATCATAAAAAAGGGCAGTAGCAAATGGTATTACATTGTGTCTAGAAATATCTTGTGTCATTCCCATTTAGAGAAACTTTATAAATAAATAATAAGATAAACCTAGTGTTACAATAAAGGTTTTAGTGATTAGACATTTCATTTATCATTAAAAAAATCTAAACAATGCTGTTTCACGCCCATTGGAGTAAATGTAACTGCTTTTGGGAATGTGGAGCCAGCTTGGAAAACAGTTCAGCAGTTTCTCTAAAGTCAAGCACAGATTTACCATATGAGCCAGCAGTTTTACCCCCGCAGCCAACACAAGAGAAAGAGAAAAAAGAAAGTAAACAGAAGGGGGAAGTATCCACAAAGGCATATACTTAAATGTCCTAGTAGAGTATTTCAAATAACCAAACTGGAAACAGCCAGAATACCCATAAGCTCATGAGTAAGAAAACAAAACAATATATATCCATAGAGTGAAATACAGTTTATCAACTAAGTAGAATTAACTGGACTACAGGAAGATTGCTGTGGACTAGGGGCCAGACCAGGCTATATATTGAGTTTTAGGCTAGCCTGGGCTACAAAGTTGAGACCTTGTCTCAAAAAAGCCACTGATAAATGGATAAACCTTAGAAGTAGTATGTTAAATAAAGGAAGCCAGACACAAAAGCCAACTATTGCCTGGTACCAATCTATATAAAATACCTAGGAAAATCAGATTTAGAGAGAAGGAAAGCAGGATCAATGGGTGTGAAGGATAACTATTAATTGAGTGTGGGGGAACTTTCTAGACATGATAGTAATTTCCTGAACTTGGATTGTGGTGATGATTGTACATTGCTATAAACTTACTGAGTCAAACAGTTAGAAAATGTTGGTCTGGGCTGAAGAGATAAGGCTCAGTGGCTAACTGCACCCACCACCTGTAACTCCAGATCCAGGGGACATGATGCCCTCTAGCTTCTGTATGTACCTGTACCCATATGTATATATATATATTTGGGGGGGGGGGGTTACGAGACAGGGTTTCTCTGTATTTTTTTGAGGCTGTCGGTCCAGCCCGGCCTCGAACTCACAGAGATCCGCCTGCCTCTGCCTCCGGAGTGCTGGGATTAAAGGCGTGCACCACCACCGCCCGGCTCCATATGTATATTTTAATCTTAAAAAAAGAAATATAAATCTATGGCATATAAATAATATTTTATTAAAGCTAATATTTATAGCAGACTAAAGATCAAAAACAACAAAATAAGCCGGGTGGTGGTGGCGCACGCCTTTAATCCCAGCACTCGGGAGGCAGAGGCAGGCGGATCTCTGTGAGTTTGAGGCCAGGCTGGACCGACAGCCTCGTAAACAATACAGAGAAACCCTGTCTCGAAAAAAAAAAAACCAAAAAACAACAACAACAACAACAAAATAAATTTCTGTTGAGAACTTGTCATTTTATTCTAATACGAGGGAACATGAGACAAAGCAAAGCAAACTCATTAAAGGAGAATAAAGTCACAGAGATACTTAATCCGCTTCATTTTCCATAAAAGACAGTTGGCAAAATAAGAATTGTTTTTTGTTTTTTTTTGTTTTGTTTGTTTGTTTTGAGAGAAAGTTTCTCTGTGTAATCACCCTGGCTGTCCTGGAACTTGCTCTGTAGACCAGGCTGGCCTCAGACTCATAAAGATCTGCCTGAAAATAAGATTCTTTAACTGGAACAGTTCTGAGTTATATGTCCTCAAATATTCTTACTTTGATACATCATCAAGTGTTCATGAGATAGTCTGTTGTTACTTTTATTCCCATTTTAAGTGTTCAGAGTAGAAATTAAAAGCCTGTAAGGGTAAATCCTATATTTAAAAGTGAATAGGTATAAAATAGAGACGTGCTTTGCCTCCTGATTAGTGAAGACATGTCAGGTATCTTTGAGGGTTAAACTGAAAGATTAGTGACATATCCAAAATCTGCTTTTTGGTCAGATACAAACTGAAGTACATTATTAGAGTGTTTTATTTAAATAAAAGTTAAATAATTATTTAGATAAAAGCATAAATATAGTCTTAATTAAAAAGCAGTAGGAATAAATCTATCCATTGAGAAGATTTCTGCAATATAATTAATTTTACTTAAAAGATTTGACAGTGGTAATCCACTTTATTTGGGAATTTGGTAATTATCTGCAAGAAGGCTCATCTTTGCATGGAGAAGGCCTCTAAGTTGTTTCTTAATAGGAGAGTTTTTGCACTGTTTTGTTTGAACTCCTAGGTTGTTGTGCATTGTTTCCTGTTTTCACAAACCAAATCAATTCTTCGTTTCAGCCTGTTCAGTTAGTATGCTGCTTGTTACATGCTCACTGTCTTAGGGTTTTTATTGCTGTGAAAAGACACTGTGACCACTGCAGCTCTTATAAAGAGGTGGCTCACTTACAGTTTCGGATGTTCAGTCCATTATCATCATGATGGGGAGCATGGCAGCATGCAGGCCAACATGATGCTGGCTACATCTTGACCAAAAGGCAGGAGGAAGTCAACTCACAGTCACGCTGTAAAGTATCTTGAGTAAAGGAAGCCTCAGAGCCCATCCCCAGAATGACACACTTCCTCCAACAAGGCTATACCCACTGCAACATAACCACACCTCCTAATAGTGCCACTGCCTTTGGGGGCCATTTTCTTTCAAACTACCACAATCACCATCAGAAATACAGACCGTGACTTTTGTTCAGCTTAACTCCATTATAGTTGTCCCAGCCTCTTCTGTTTTGTTCTGGTCTCCAAATCATGTCTAAGAGTTTGTCAAACAGGGCTAGGAAGATTGCTTGCCTAAAAACCTGATAATTGGAGTCCAGATCTCCAGAACCCACATAAAAACTGAGCACAGGAACACAACTGTTTGTAATGTCTCTACCAGGAATTGGCAGGCAGGAATAGAATCACCAGAGATAGCTGGTGTAGGCAGCAGCGAACAAGAGAGGCCCTGTCTTGAACAAGGTGGAAGAGTGAGGAGTAGCTTGTGCTCTCTCCTTTACATTTGTGCCAGCCACATCCTGCATGCTTGCACTCCTGTACACAGACAGCACACACCGTTTCTAAAAGTTTATCACAGACTTCAGATTTGTCACTTTAGTTGTACAAACAAAATTAGGTTTCATATTTAAAATTGTGAAAAAGAATTTGACAATTACAGTATTGGAGTTTGAATTTTATATACAGTTGTAATTACAAGGCTTGTGAGTTTGGACAAGTAACTCTTTAAAATATATCCTCATTTGTAAAACACCTGAAAAATATCTGTCTGCTTTATCTGTCCACCAGAGTGAGTGTGAAATTTATTGATACATAATTTATTAAGTTATGCAGTTTTT